TCCTATTGTAATGAAACACAACTACCCAAAATCCTTTTTAATTTTAAAATTAAAAAAAAAGAAAAAAGAAGAAGATATTTTCTATTTAAACCCCACACTTCTCTTTGTTCACCTCATGTTCTAAGTTCACCCCAACTTCTAATTTAAATTTTCACAATTTTTAAGAAAACCCCACTATCTTCCCAAACTACCCTTAAATACATCCCAAGTTGAAAAATAATAAATAAAAGAGTTTTCTATTTAAACCCCACTATCTTCCTACTACAAACTATAGAAAAAAACATATATCTAAACTAAATAGTGAGGGGAAAAGATGAAGAAAGCTCCTATTTTTTGAGAAGAAGATGAAGGTCTTTGTGCTTAGTATGCCATTGGTTAATGGAAACATTAAGAATTGAAATGATTCATTAAATGAGGATAATATGGTAAATTCACACTTTTTTATATTAAAAAAATTTAAAATTTAAAACAAAATCATATTATGAGTCCTATTTTTATGAAACACAACTATTAATTATCTAAAATTGATTGGGCCAGCTTAATACTAGTACCAATTAAAATTGATTGGGTTCATACCAAAACCAAAACCCCCAAACAAAAAAGAAAAATAAAAGGTTTGGGTTGGGTTGGGCCTTTGGATTTATAATTGGGCAAGCTTACTATTACTAATTATAATCTATAAAAAAATATTAAAAAAAAAAAAAAAAAAAGGGTCATTGAAGAGCGCTCATCATTAAGTCGGTATGTGCACCGCACGCTATTCGTCCCTCCAAATCCGAAACTTCGAAACCCACACACACAACTCAAAACAGCAAGCGCTTGCTTTGCTCCTTCGTTTCCTCCTCTCTCACTAGGGGCTAGGGTTAGGGTTAGGGTTTTGCGTGCTTGCTTGGGGTTCAAACCCTAGCTGCAGCAATGGCCAGGTACAGAAGCCGAAGCAGAAGCTACAGCCCTCGTCGACGCAGCCGGACTCCGCCACGTGGACGCAAGCGATACGACGACGACCCTCGTGATCGCTACCGTGAAAGCAGGTCTTACAGAGACCGTCGCTCACCCGCTCCTTCTGGCCTGCTCGTTCGAAATCTTCCTCTCGATGCCAGGTCTCTCTTTCCTTCCCTATGAATGCATTTGTGTGCACATATGTTTATATATATTTTCGTATTTATGTGTATTTTGTTTTGTTTATTCAGGATTAGTTATCTTGTTGGCTATATATGTTTATGTAGTTTATTCTTCAAATGTGGGACTAAATTTGGGTGCTAGTAATGAATTATTGGTTTTGTTTTTGTAATTGTTCATGCTATAATTTTCTATTTATGCGGATGAAATGTGTACAGAGGAGTGAATGTTTCTCTGTGTGTTTGTGTTTGTGTTTTATAATATACACATATGTTCGTAGTTCTGACACCAGTATTTTATATAACAATAACTAGATTTTACATGAATATAGAAATAATCCTTCAACAAATTGAGTATATTATGATTATGGTGAGTCCTTTTAACCACAAATTACGGATACATCAATTTTTCCACAACTATACCTGTAAGCTTCTTGTTGTTATAATTATCTTTTACAAAATAATTTATGGTTTATCTAAGTTTTTGCAGGCCTGAAGATCTTAGGATCCCATTTGAGCGATATGGCCCAGTGAAGGATGTGTATCTTCCTAAGAATTACTACACTGGGTATGCCCTTTTTTATAGTTATACTGTGGATTATGCTAGAGATGCAATGCAATTCTTCTTTGGTGTAAAAGTTGAACTCCTTGAATAGATAATTCTTTAAAAGTGGATATAATTCAGACACTTGTACCATATGAGACATGATGCCACTATTAAGTTATTTAATTAAGCTGTGCCTATTTGAATCTACAGGGAGCCACGGGGCTTTGGGTTTGTGAAGTACCGTTATGCGGAGGATGCAGCTGAAGCAAAGCAACAACTGAACCATTCAGTTATTGGTGGACGTGAAATAAGAATTGTGTTTGCTGAGGAGAATAGAAAAACTCCCCAAGAAATGCGTACAACTACTCGCGTAAGGTACACTGCATTTTGCTTCAATACCACGCATCATTTCATATGTCTCCCTAATTGAAATAAGATATTTATTTCATAAATGTTGATTTTTTTTTTCGTTTCTAAATTTATCAGCAGTGGTCGACATGGAGGAAGCTCCAGAAGGAGATCTCCACCGAGGTCCCCAAGACGGCAATATC